TCACCTACGGACTTCTACTTACTATCCAACGGTCCTTTTCAGGACCACCAACTCTCACAAAAGAACACTTGAAACACGATGAAAACAAGTAATTACACTAAGCAAAACAGAACAAAACAAGTAAAGACACAAATAGGAGAGAGAAAAAAACCGACACCTATTAGCGTAAGCCCATTGTAATGATTAGTATCTGCACACATTCCTTACACACAATAATGTTATATTTACCCATTTTTGTGACATACACAACTCGTGCAGGAGTGTCGGGGAGGGGTGGGTAGGGTAGGGTAGGGATCATCATACATGACTGAAATTAATAACCTACTAAACGTAAATAATTGACTTTTATTTTGCCATTTGCAGAAATATACCAGTGGTCTGTGATAAGTCAGTCAGTCAGTCAGTCAGTCAGTCAGTCAGTCAGTCAATCAAGCAATCAAAAACGACCAGTCAAATAAGCAATGTTTACTGAAGATTTCGTTTGATTTGATTTGATTTGATTTGATTTGATTTGATTTGATTTGAGATTTGATTTGATTTGATTTGATTTGAGATTTGATTTGATCGTGCGTGCGTGCATGCGTGCGTGCGTAGAATGCAAATAAAATAGTGACGATGAGTTTTTCATAATATCAAGTTATCAAGCATTCTTTTGGTATTTGGTGGTCCTGAAAAGGACCGTTGAGAGTGTTGGTGAAAACACAAGGTTTTCAACCGCCGAATCCGTAGAGGGTACGTCCCTGTCGTTTCAGGGCATAGACGACATCCATGGCAGTGACAGTCTTCCTCTTGGCGTGCTCGGTGTAGGTGACGGCATCACGGATGACATTCTCAAGGAAAACTTTGAGGACACCACGGGTCTCTTCGTAAATCAGACCTGAGATACGCTTGACACCACCTCTTCTTGCTAGACGACGGATGGCTGGCTTGGTGATACCCTGATGTTATCACGCAAAACCTTCCTGTGACGCTTGGCGCCCCTTTCCAAGACCTTTACCTCCTTTACCACGGCCTGACATGTTTACTCTGAGAGATTTCCAGACAGAATGCCCTCGGAAGGAGCGAGTTTCAGTTTATATAGGAACGCGCGGACCTCTGAGAAGACAACCAAGCATAAATACAGTTGATTTTACGTTAAAACTAGCATAAGAAAGGCAGAAACACGTTTTTCACATAGCAGCTACCAATTAACACTAGTGTTTTTCTTACGTGTGACGTTCATTACGTTTTATTGTCTCCTTTTTCAGTTATTACAAGTAATTGCCCCAGCCGATGCCAAGAGTTTATACATTAACATCACATCTGTGAAGACTCGCTCACTGAACCAAGTCAAGTGCGAACGACAACGAACGCGAAGGCAACCAATCAGGATAGCCGTTTATCGACCAATCAACGGCTTCCCCGCGCAAGTCCGAGTCCCGTCAAGAGCGAGCATGAACCCCGTTTGATTCAGTTTCACTTGTGAATCGAGATGGCACGTACTAAGCAGACAGCGCGTAAATCCACCGGAGGAAAAGCTCCCCGAAAACAGCTAGCCACCAAGGCTGCTCGTAAGAGCGCCCCGGCCACCGGAGGTGTAAAGAAACCCCACAGATACAGGCCCGGAACAGTCGCACTTCGTGAGATCCGTCGTTACCAGAAAAGCACCGAGCTTTTGATCAGGAAGCTGCCATTCCAGCGTCTTGTCCGTGAAATCGCTCAAGACTTCAAGACTGATCTCCGATTCCAGTCCTCGGCCGTCATGGCCCTTCAGGAGGCTTCCGAGGCTTACCTTGTGGGTCTGTTTGAGGACACCAACTTGTGCGCCATCCACGCCAAGCGTGTCACCATCATGCCCAAGGACATCCAGCTTGCCCGCCGTATCCGTGGGGAGAGAGCTTAGACAGCAGTCCGCTCATATCTATCATAACGGTCCTTTTCAGGACCACCAAATACACCAAAAGAATGCTTGATTACACGATACTGAAAACACTCGGAAAACGAATAAAATGATCACCCAATGATGTTAATTTATGCCTATGCATATCATTCAGTACGGGTAGAATTTCGGTTTTATATACAGAAACGAATTACACACACTCATGAATGTTTTAGCTCCCATACACATTGCACACAAAGCAAAATATCGGTTAATGGAAACGCATTGCAACCCTAACCTAAATTATATTTATCATGACACACCTATATGCTATTTCAGACCCCCAAAGTGTCAGGCGGGTACGCCCCAAAGTGCCAGGCGGGTACGCCCGAAAAATGCCAGTCGGGTACGACCGAAATTGCCAGTCGGGCCAGTCGGGTACGACCGAAAATGCCAGTCGGGCCAGTCGGGTACGACCGAAAATGCCAGTCAGGCCAGTCGGGCCAGTCGGGCCCGAAAGTGCCAGGCGGGTCCGCCCGAAAGTGTTTCTGTGGATAGGGATATAATTTTTTCACGATATCAAGTCACAGCTGTAGTATGCACCTGTCCAGAGCGTATTATATCCGTACTGAGACATGCTACACGCACTAATGAAATAACCCCCTAACCCTAGCTAACCCTAACCCTAACCCTAACCCTAGCTAACCCTAACCCTAACCCTAGCACTAGCCCTAACCCTAGTAAATGTGAACGTATCCTAATACTACGTCATGTAGACTATTTGTGTTCCTTATTTATGCATGTTATGTACTACAAAGGCACATACATGATTTATGTTGAACAGCGACCTGACGTATACTGGATCGCCGCTCAAACCTACAAAAGTTTTCTCCCTTACACTACACTATATACATGTGGCAGTCACATATATTTGTGTAACTGTCAACCGAACAATAAACTATACAGTGTATATAGTATTTGTTATAAGTTATAAGTTATAAGTTATAAGTATTAGTATTAGTATTAGTATAAGCATTTTGTTATTCATTAAATGATTGATCTTGCGTGCGTGCGTGCGTGTAAATGTATTAATTATGATAATGATTCGATTATACAACATAAACATGGAATGTAGCTGCAGTTTGTTTTCATCATATTTGCAAGCATTCTTTGTGTTATTTGGTGGTCCTGAAAAGGACCGTTGATGAAGAAGCGTGGGTTGGAAATTTACTTTCCAGCAGACTTCTGGGTTTCTTTGGGAGAAGGACAGCCTGATGTTGGGGAGGACACCACCCTGGGCGATGGTGACTCCGGACAGAAGTTTGTTCAACTCCTCGTCGTTCCTGATGGCCAGCTGCAGATGTCTGGGGATGATTCTGGTCTTCTTGTTGTCTCTGGCGGCGTTACCTGCCAACTCAAGAACCTCAGCGGCGAGGTATTCCAAAACGGCAGCCAGGTAGACTGGGGCTCTGGCACCCACGCGCTCGGCATAGTTGCCTTTACGGAGGAGACGATGGATACGTCCAACGGGGAACTGAAGTCCGGCCCGGGAGGATCGGGACTTGATTTGCCCTTTGACTTTTCCGCCTTTACCACGTCCTGACATATTGGTAGTTTTATCGAGATGCAACAACACACGAGTAACGGAAAACACAGTCACTCAGTCTATTTAAGCGGACCCATACAAAGCAACTGGCCGCCGACTGGATCGAAACGGGCATTTTGCCGCGAAGGTTGTCTTCCGACGTCCGCGCGCTCAAAACCCTGATCCGATCCCATCCCTCGCTGCATAAAAAGAATGCCGCGAGTTTTTTCTCCACAGTCTCGCACTGCTTGAATATCAACATGCCACCAAAGGTTAGTTCTAAGGGAGCCAAGAAAGCCGGTAAGGCAAAGGCCGCACGTGTCGGCGACAAGAAGAAGAAGAGGAGGAGGAAGGAAAGTTACAGCATCTACATCTACAAGGTGTTGAAACAGGTGCACCCCGACACTGGTATCAGCAGCAAAGCTATGTCCATCATGAACAGCTTTGTCAACGATATCTTCGAGAGAATCGCCGCTGAGGCATCCTGTCTCGCCCATTACAACAAGCGATCCACCATCACCTCTCGGGAGATCCAGACCGCTGTCCGTCTCCTCCTCCCCGGTGAATTGGCTAAGCACGCCGTCTCTGAGGGTACCAAGGCCGTCACCAAGTACACCAGCTCTAAGTAGACAGTTCACCTACGGACTTCTATTATTATTCCAACGGTCCTTTCAGGACCACCAACTCTCACAAAAGAACACTTGAAACACGATGAAAACAAGTAATTACACTAAGCAAAACAGAACAAAACAAGTAAAGACACAAATAGGAGAGAGAAAAAAACCGACACCTATTAGCGTAAGCCCATTGTAATGATTAGTATCTGCACACATTCCTTACACACAATAATGTTATATTTACCCATTTTTGTGACATACACAACTCGTGCAGGAGTGTCGGGGAGGGGTGGGTAGGGTAGGGTAGGGCATCCTCATGATCATCATACATGACTGAAATTAATAACCTACTAAACGTAAATAATTGACTTTTATTTTTGCTATTTGCAGAAATATACCAGTGGTCTGTGATAAGTCAGTCAGTCAGTCAGTCAGTCAGTCAGTCAGTCAGTCAGTCAGTCAAGTCAGATCAATCAAGCAAACGACCAGTCAAATAAGCAATGTTTACTGAAGATTTCGTTTGATTTGATTTGATTTGATTTGATTTGATTTGATTTGATTTGAGATTTGATTTGATTTGATTTGATTTGAGATTTGATTTGATCGTGCGTGCGTGCATGCGTGCGTGCGTAGAATGCAAATAAAATAGTGACGATGAGTTTTTCATAATATCAAGTTATCAAGCATTCTTTGGTATTTGGTGGTCCTGAAAAGGACCGTTGAGAGTGTTGGTGAAAACACAAGGTTTTCAACCGCCGAATCCGTAGAGGGTACGTCCCTGTCGTTTCAGGGCATAGACGACATCCATGGCAGTGACAGTCTTCCTCTTGGCGTGCTCGGTGTAGGTGACGGCATCACGGATGACATTCTCAAGGAAAACTTTGAGGACACCACGGGTCTCTTCGTAAATCAGACCTGAGATACGCTTGACACCACCTCTTCTTGCTAGACGACGGATGGCTGGCTTGGTGATACCCTGATGTTATCACGCAAAACCTTCCTGTGACGCTTGGCGCCCCTTTCCAAGACCTTTACCTCCTTTACCACGGCCTGACATGTTTACTCTGAGAGATTTCCAGACAGAATGCCCTCGGAAGGAGCGAGTTTCAGTTTATATAGGAACGCGCGGACCTCTGAGAAGACAACCAAGCATAAATACAGTTGATTTTACGTTAAAACTAGCATAAGAAAGGCAGAAACACGTTTTTCACATAGCAGCTACCAATTAACACTAGTGTTTTTCTTTACGTGTGACGTTCATTACGTTTTATTGTCTCCTTTTTCAGTTATTACAAGTAATTGCCCCAGCCGATGCCAAGAGTTTATACATTAACATCACATCTGTGAAGACTCGCTCACTGAACCAAGTCAAGTGCGAACGACAACGAACGCGAAGGCAACCAATCAGGATAGCCGTTTATCGACCAATCAACGGCTTCCCGCGCAAGTCCGAGTCCCGTCAAGAGCGAGCATGAACCCCGTTTGATTCAGTTTCACTTGTGAATCGAGATGGCACGTACTAAGCAGACAGCGCGTAAATCCACCGGAGGAAAAGCTCCCCGAAAACAGCTAGCCACCAAGGCTGCTCGTAAGAGCGCCCTGCCACCGGAGGTGTAAAGAAACCCCACAGATACAGGCCTGAACAGTCGCACTTCGTGAGATCCGTCGTTACCAGAAAAGCACCGAGCTTTTGATCAGGAAGCTGCCATTCCAGCGTCTTGTCCGTGAAATCGCTCAAGACTTCAAGACTGATCTCCGATTCCAGTCCTCGGCCGTCATGGCCCTTCAGGAGGCTTCCGAGGCTTACCTTGTGGGTCTGTTTGAGGACACCAACTTGTGCGCCATCCACGCCAAGCGTGTCACCATCATGCCCAAGGACATCCAGCTTGCCCGCCGTATCCGTGGGGAGAGAGCTTAGACAGCAGTCCGCTCATATCTATCATAACGGTCCTTTTCAGGACCACCAAATACACCAAAAAGAATGCTTGATTACACGATACTGAAAACACTCGGAAAACGAATAAAATGATCACCCAATGATGTTAATTTATGCCTATGCATATCATTCAGTACGGGTAGAATTTCGGTTTTATATACAGAAACGAATTACACACACTCATGAATGTTTTAGCTCCCATACACATTGCACAATAATAAAGCAAAATATCGGTTAATGGAAACGCATTGCAACCCTAACCTAAATTATATTTATCATGACACACCTATATGCTATTTCAGACCCCCAAAGTGTCAGGCGGGTACGCCCCAAAGTGCCAGGCGGGTACGCCCGAAAATGCCAGTCGGGTACGACCGAAATTGCCAGTCGGGCCAGTCGGGTACGACCGAAAATGCCAGTCGGGCCAGTCGGGTACGACCGAAAATGCCAGTCGGGCCAGTCGGGCCAGTCGGGCCCGAAAGTGCCAGGCGGGTCCGCCCGAAAGTGTTTCTGTGGATAGGGATATAATTTTTTCACGATATCAAGTCACAGCTGTAGTATGCACCTGTCCAGAGCGTATTATATCCGTACTGAGACATGCTACACGCACTAATGAAATAACCCCTAACCCTAGCTAACCCTAACCCTAACCCTAACCCTAGCTAACCCTAACCCTAACCCTAGCACTAGCCCTAACCCTAGTAAATGTGAACGTATCCTAATACTACGTCATGTAGACTATTTGTGTTCCTTATTTATGCATGTTATGTACTACAAAGGCACATACATGATTTATGTTGAACAGCGACCTGACGTATACTGGATCGCCGCTCAAACCTACAAAGTTTTCTCCTTTACACTACACTATATACATGTGGCAGTCACATATATTTGTGTAACTGTCAACCGAACAATAAACTATACAGTGTATATAGTATTTGTTATAAGTTATAAGTTATAAGTTATAAGTATTAGTATTAGTATTAGTATAAGCATTTTGTTATTCATTAAATGATTGATCTTGCGTGCGTGCGTGCGTGTAAATGTATTAATTATGATAATGATTCGATTATACAACATAAACATGGAATGTAGCTGCAGTTTGTTTTCATCATATTTGCAAGCATTCTTTGTGTTATTTGGTGGTCCTGAAAAGGACCGTTGATGAAGAAGCGTGGGTTGGAAATTTACTTTCCAGCAGACTTCTGGGTTTTCTTGGGGAGAAGGACAGCCTGATGTTGGGGAGGACACCACCCTGGGCGATGGTGACTCCGGACAGAAGTTTGTTCAACTCCTCGTCGTTCCTGATGGCCAGCTGCAGATGTCTGGGGATGATTCTGGTCTTCTTGTTGTCTCTGGCGGCGTTACCTGCCAACTCAAGAACCTCAGCGGCGAGGTATTCCAAAACGGCAGCCAGGTAGACTGGGGCTCCGGCACCCACGCGCTCGGCATAGTTGCCTTTACGGAGGAGACGATGGATACGTCCAACGGGGAACTGAAGTCCGGCCCGGGAGGATCGGGACTTGATTTGCCCCTTGACTTTTCCGCCTTTACCACGTCCTGACATATTGGTAGTTTTATCGAGATGCAACAACACACGAGTAACGGAAAACACAGTCACTCAGTCTATTTAAGCGGACCCATACAAAGCAACTGGCCGCCGACCGGATCGAAACGGGCATTTTGCCGCGAAGGTTGTCTTCTCCGACGTCCGCGCGCTCAAAACCCCGATCCGATCCCATCCCTCGCTGCATAAAAAGAATGCCGCGAGTTTTTTCTCCACAGTCTCGCACTGCTTGAATATCAACATGCCACCAAAGGTTAGTTCTAAGGGAGCCAAGAAAGCCGGTAAGGCAAAGGCCGCACGTGTCGGCGACAAGAAGAAGAAGAGGAGGAGGAAGGAAAGTTACAGCATCTACATCTACAAGGTGTTGAAACAGGTGCACCCCGACACTGGTATCAGCAGCAAAGCTTATGTCCATCATGAACAGCTTTGTCAACGATATCTTCGAGAGAATCGCCGCTGAGGCATCCCGTCTCGCCCATTACAACAAGCGATCCACCATCACCTCTCGGGAGATCCAGACCGCTGTCCGTCTCCTCCTCCCCGGTGAATTGGCTAAGCACGCCGTCTCTGAGGGTACCAAGGCCGTCACCAAGTACACCAGCTCTAAGTAGACAGTTCACCTACGGACTTCTACTTATTATCCAACGGTCCTTTTCAGGACCACCAACTCTCACAAAAGAACACTTGAAACACGATGAAAACAAGTAATTACACTAAGCAAAACAGAACAAAACAAGTAAAGACACAAATAGGAGAGAGAAAAACCGACACCTATTAGCGTAAGCCCATTGTAATGATTAGTATCTGCACACATTCCTTACACACAATAATGTTATATTTACCCATTTTGTGACATACACAACTCGTGCAGGAGTGTCGGGGAGGGGTGGGGTAGGGTAGGGTAGGGCATCCTCATGATCATCATACATGACTGAAATTAATAACCTACTAAACGTAAATAATTGACTTTAATTTTTGCTATTTGCAGAAATATACCAGTGGTCTGTGATAAGTCAGTCAGTCAGTCAGTCAGTCAGTCAGTCAGTCAGTCAAGTCAGATCAATCAAGCAAACGACCAGTCAAATAAGCAATGTTTACTGAAGATTTCGTTTGATTTGATTTGATTTGATTTGATTTGATTTGATTTGATTTGAGATTTGATTTGATTTGATTTGATTTGAGATTTGATTTGATCGTGCGTGCGTGCATGCGTGCGTGCGTAGAATGCAAATAAAATAGTGACGATGAGTTTTTCATAATATCAAGTTATCAAGCATTCTTTTGGTATTTGGTGGTCCTGAAAAGGACCGTTGAGAGTGTTGGTGAAAACACAAGGTTTTCAACCGCCGAATCCGTAGAGGGTACGTCCCTGTCGTTTCAGGGCATAGACGACATCCATGGCAGTGACAGTCTTCCTCTTGGCGTGCTCGGTGTAGGTGACGGCATCACGGATGACATTCTCAAGGAAAACTTTGAGGACACCACGGGTCTCTTCGTAAATCAGACCTG